AACCTCCATTTCCTCACACAGTACTCGTTTTTCTGCCACGATTTTTTGGAAACCAACCGTTGAATACGTTGAATTTAGACTCAGATCGCGAATTGGTTGAATTTCGGGATGTGAAAGATTGAACATAGAAATTTATTAGGAAATCTTGAATTGAAAAACTACAAGGGACAGCCCAATGGGGTTGTACGCAATGATGACGTAGGACTTCGTGGTATGATATAATAAATATTTTTGTTAACTGCAGACTGGAGTTTGTGTTTTGTGTAGGAATAGGAATTTTAGCGGGGTTCTCTTTGCTAATACTCTTAAGTATGACCCTTAAAAGAACCTTTTGATATGAATTTTAGTAGGGACATGTTCAGAAAATTAACTCTTTTGGAAAATGTTGGTGACCCTGAAAAGGGCCGATGGTAGTACAGGCTTAAAGCCTTTGGAAGATGATGATGACGTGTAGGCAGCTGCGTATTCAGTGACGGCATCACGGATCACATTTTCTCGGCACACCTCGGGTTTCCTCAGCCCAGTGGCAGGCGCGTAGGCAACATGTTATACCGTGACAGCGGACCCAGCACAGCAAAATAAACGATTTGAGCCCGGTACATACTGTCTACTGTCAAACGCTGCTGTTGGTATAGGCCTTGTCACTGGCCTGGGTTTCCTCGTACATCAGACCGGCGACTCCTTTACCAAATCCTTTGTCAACCTTGCCACGACCAGTCATGCCTCCTGGTTGTTTACCGTTGAACGGGGGAATCGCAACTTATGCGAAGGCGCAGTTAGCTACCTGTTATATCCAGTATTTTACGATCGTTTATGGCCGCCACAATCTGGCTGAGTATCTGGTAGGGAACATAAGATTTGAAGTTCGGGTTGTGTCGTTTGACGTGTAAACGTCAAAAACGGGAACATGAACAAAGGGTATGGGAAAATGAGGATCAAGCTACCGGGTAATAACTAGATAAGCGTCTTTCTTATCCAGAGCTTCGAAGCGTTAAGTTTACTATCCTCCATAAAAAGCAGAGATAAAGTTGAAGGTAAAGAGAGAAGTTCATTTGAAATCACCGTTATCTAATTCGATTTGAAAGTGAAATAAGAATCAGATATGGAGTAAAAGGACATAGCACAAAACAGAATAAAGTTAAAAAAAATACCCGGTAGTTCTCCCAATACCCACCCTGGGACGTTTTTTCCTTAGGACCCATTATTAACCGCCTGAATTGTCCAGAAAGTTATCCGCCATTCCGGCGTGCGATTGGACTTCTAGCACCGACGTCTGAAGGAGTGTGATCCGCCAATCCGGCGTACGATCCGTCCCTCTTGGATTCAGCGTAGCCATTACCCCGAGCGTCAAGGCAAAGGCGACATTCCCGCATTTCGAGCTTGCATGCGGCCACATCGTGAGACACTACCCACATACACACACACACACACACACACACAGTAAGTTGAAATAAAAGAACTAATTAAAAAGAGAGAAACCACCACTACAGCCGACCCTGAAGGATCTTCTTTCATGCTCGAGCTAAAGCCACCACAAAAGAGGTTGTTGTAGAACCCACTCTCAGTGATTCCCGTTGGCTAGACCAGGGATCGAGGGCCTAGCGAAGTGGTCCGTCTGACTGCTTTTAACACGTTCAACGGCAAACAACCAGGAGGCATGCGTGGCAAGAATTTGGTAAAGTAGTCGGAATGTACGATGAAACCCAACAACAAAACGGCCCTTTTCAGGGCCACCAAGTTCATTTAAGAAAAGAGTTAGTTAGAGTAGAATTTTTAAAGAACTACAAAAATAGTTTTCTCCATTAAGTCAAGGCTATTTTTTCTAATTGATGGCGCTGTTCCATTGATAGTAAGTTAGAAATTTGGAAAAGTGGATGGAACGCTTTGGATGCATATTATGGTCAAATCGTTAATCGTTCATTATCGTTCAGTTTTTTCCGAGAAATTTTTGATAAATAGTATTTTCTTGCAGAATATGTTAAAAGGGAGGGGATTGTTATGTATTTTTTATGCAGAATATGCAAAATGGGAGGGACTTCAAATGTTAATCCTCCCTCCCCCACCAAATGTTACAGAGTGTCTTCAAAATACATGGAATGTTGAGATATTGAGATCGTGCGAGTGAATTTTCTCTTTCAAATTTGAAGCTTTTGGCTCTCTGGGGATTGGTAGTAAAGCGGTTAAAAAATGTATGGGAAAAAAACCTTTTTTTATTTAATTGTAGCTTATTTAACAAAATTTTCCAGGAAAAAACTGAACGACAAAGTCCATAAACGATTTCTTTAGGTTGTCGTCAACTTTTTTTGGAAAGCTATGTGAAATTCACATAGATTTCATGCATTACATATGTGATATATTTTTTGAGTGTATCCCATGTTTCCAAGTTTGGTTACAAGATTACAACTCTGGAGAGCATTTTGTGTAGTCGTTGGGAGCGTGTGGTTCTGAATATGGCGATGAGTGTGCAAACTAATACGCAATTCCATCCTCCCTATTCGCACGCGCCCGAGGATCGAAGGCGAACGCCACTTCGACTTGTTTCGTCTACTTACTACTCTCTGACGACTGTGCTGGGGAAGCAGCATATGCATGTAGGTAATTGGTGGATTTGTTAGTTAATTCGACGCTTTTGGACAATGCTCGACATTTACCAGTTTTTCAATAGTTTCTTGTTGAAAATCAACATTCGGAAGCATTGTTATCGATACGTAGCCATATTTCTGATCGATTGGTGATAAAATTATTGAAATTGGACCAGGGGCAGCTGAGTTATTAACGTTCAAAATCTTTCATAATTTGTTACATGTTCCATTTTCGGTTTTCACAAAGTGTACCCCCATATAGAAATCACAGACGTAGTCCTACGTCAAAAAAAATGAGGCTCAGAGAAAAATGTTTAACGTCTTGGATAAATTTGTCAATTTTAAGACAAGCAATTTTAAAGATCTCGAATATAGAAACTTCTGTTAAAACTTCAAATATTGACAAATGTTCATATCTCTAGAACATAGACAAGTATTCTGGATCGTATGAATAATTATTATTAATCTGGAATGACGAAAATTTTCTCAAAAAATCTTGATCTTCAAAAAAGTTGTAAGTTGGTATACATTTTAGAGAAATTGGACATTTTTTGTTTAATGCTGGTACTTAGTAATTCGCGATCTTTAATTCGAACAAATTGGGATTGGAAATTTGTTGATTCCGGACTTGTAGAAAATACAATTTGCTGGGCTTGAAAAAGAGCTTCTGAATAAAAAGAAGATTCGATGTTTGTCGATACTAAAGCTTCCGGCCTTCAAAGATTTATCGAAATTCAGGTATTTGAAAAAATATCTACCACTTTTCAACATATTAGGCTTGGAAAACTTTCAAAGTGACGAAGAGATATCGGAACCAGAGTTTATTTTTTTCGAAACCTCAAAAAATTTGTGCTATCTAGAGATTATAGACAATGGAAAAATGTCAAAACCTGTTGTTTCTGTTTTTTTTGCATATTTTATTATTTCACTTAACTGTTGACCAAAAAGAATACAATATGTAATATGTGGTAAGGTCAAAATATGTTATTCTCAATTGGGGATTGGAATTAAGAAGAGAAATGCAAGGAAATTCAAATTATGATGTTTGAAATAATCTTAAAAGAATCTTTACAGTATTCCAAGAAGATGATTTGAGAATGCTTAACAAAATTTCAAGAAAAGTATTTTTTTTATTAAAAGTAATTTTCACACTCTCAGATCATTCGTGCTTTATCCGGGTGAGATTTGAACTCATGATTTTGGAGTGAGAGGTATGGATTTTGATCTTTATGTTTTACAGACTAACCTCGGTATTCAAAGATGTCCTAATTTTGGTATCTGGTTAGCACAAAGTGCAGAAATCAATTTTTAATTTATCTCTATGTCCGGTATCGAACATTTGCATGCCAAGCAGGATCGGAGTTTGCAAGGAGTTTGAGACGGCATGAATCTGCTTCTCTATCTAGAACTACTTCACTCGGAACACTGTAGCAAAAGAATTCAAGCAATGACACCACATGAAATTCTATAAACTCAGATATCTTAGTAGGAACAACGACAAAATCACCGCTTGATCTCGACGCGAACAGATTGCGAGTGAGAGAAACGAATATATATATATATATAAAGTTGTAAGCAAGAGAATATAATGATGTTTGTGCTATAAAGTTGATTGATTCCAAGTAACATTGCAAGTTTAAAGGTTTAAAAGATTCTTCAATACCAAATTATGGCCTACAAGACAAATATAAAATCAAAATTGTTACTTGGGATGAGTATATATGATCTTTCCCGGTGCAATTTGGGTTTTCCCGGATTTTTCCCGGTAAATCCGAATTCCCGATTTTTTCCCGGATTTTCCGGTTGGATGGACACCCTGGCCTTTACCCATTTCATTTTCCCAAGCGCTGAAGGACGAGTGGTCAACACACGGGTCTCCAAATCTCAACGACCAAGTTTCGGCTCCAGTCTGCTCCGTTTCATTATATTTTTGTCAACATTATAAGACATACCGATTTCTTGAAGCTAAAATTCATAAGTTGTTATTAAGGAATTCTTGCGTTCATTTGACTCATTGAAACAATCACTATCATGCTAAAAGCCAAACAGGCTACGCCTATTTTGATTTGATTTCAATGATTTTAATTCCGTGTGTGCTATCTGCTTCTTCCTCCCATACAATTACTTTCCTATTCTGACATAGATTTATTATTCGGACACGTTGATCGCTTGTCATTTTGTCATCTGGCGGTATTTTTGCTTCCCTGGTAATTTAATTAAAATTCAAACAATGCTTGCGAAAGTCAGATATTCATTCATTTTGCGCTGGAAACTGCTCCGCTGTAATCAATAATAAGTCATACGTAAACATATTTCCCAAAAGCTGTAATTAAACCGGGATTATCACAACTTTTCCGCTGCTTGAAAAGTTGCAGCGCAAAAGCAAAAACGGTAAACAATTATTTTCCTCGCACTTACCCCTGAACTCAACCCGCCCGAGCAGGTTGGTCTTCGCCTTCGGGAGTTGAAATTTGTTGATCCGCACCGTGAGTGACATGTTTGTATGATTTTTCTCTGATCGTTGGGAAAACGGAAATTATTCACTACACTTTTTTCTTCTTCTGCTTCTGCGACTTGGCCGCTGTCACCACCGAAACACCACCGCCAACGCCAACGTTTGGAGGTTATGTTTAGTCAGCTGCGCATCCGGTTCCAGCACCATCCACTGGAAACTGGTTCGAATTCAACCCCCACCCGCTCGTCCAGGACAAATGCATGCACTGTCACGTATCGCACCCCGATGATGTTTGGATATTGGATCACTGAAATTTAACTTTTATCTTGCCCTTCGATAGTGCTGGCAGCCGACGCCGGTAAATCGCGTGTTTGATCAGCGGTGACACTTTCGTGATTCATTTCCGTCGTCGTCGTCGTCGTCGAATAAATTGCTGGGATTTATCTGAAACAAGCGGAAATTGCAGGGTTAAAAATTCCCTACGGAATGGGATCGAATCTCGATTTTAACCCCGCATCTAAAACACACAAACCACAACCGGGAGATTATGCACTATTCCACTATCACTATTGACGTAGTTGGCCATGTTTGCACACATTGTGACACATTGCACTTCATGGAACACTTGGACCGGATGATTTACCGTCGATTTGCATTCATGCAACGCAAAATAACCATTCCGAATGGATCACAAACATATGAATTTCAAAATCTTCCCCCAGTCGCCTACTACGATTGGCTGTTAGTGGCATTGTTGTTGTTGAGAGTTAGCTATCAAAACACCACAACAACGAACGAACGGTTGCTGCCCTTCCCTTTCGGGAGCCATTAGTGCGACAATGTGGTTTGATGGAACCTAATAATGTACCTAGTCACATCTGTTTACAAACGCAAATGGTCGATGGAACGGAGTTCATATGGAATTCGATCGATCGGTTGTCGGTTGGATGCTGTTTCGAGTTCTGACGCTTTGTGAGGGATCTGTAAATGGAAAAAGAAAAGCATGATTTAAAAAAAAAATGTGGAATGAACAACTTTCACGTTGGCAAAGCAATTTCATTTACGTCACTGTGAAGATTTTCTTCGGGTGGAGACGCAAGTGTTTCTTGTTTCGTCGAAGGGAACGACACTCAATCTGAATTACTTCCTCCACAGAAAGGTCAACGGCTTCCGGAAAGGAAAAAACAAATATAATCACATTGCGAGCCCCGTCGTAGCGTCCTAATTAAACCGTACACACCAACATCAGGCTCTTAATTATCTTAACTCAGGATCATAACCCTCTCGGCGGTAATGGACATATTATGACCGAGCTGAAAGGCCATATTGACAGCAGCGGATATAATTATAACCCATTCCATTGAGATCCGGTCATATTCATAACCTCACACAGCCACAAGCTGGAGAAGAAAAATCCAAATCCCGAATTTAGGACACGTATCACCGTATCCTTTTGTATATGGAGCTGCTTCTTCGTTTGTTCAACCCTGAAACTCGGGGAAAGGTCAGGATCGCCGCCTGGTGGCGGGACTGGAACCTGGAACGGGGCGACGAAAGGCATACACAAGCTTCTTGTTCAGCACGTTCGGTCAGCAGTTCGCCCGGTGACGGTCCTAAATACAAAGAAAACGCCCCTGGCCAAAGCCAAGCTGGGGTAGGCTTGTGTGTATGTGGGTGTGTTTAGTTGGTATATCCTCTAATGATAAACAAGATTTTATCTGCGTGCGTGTCTTCTGCTAGATGGGAGCGTAGGACGTCATGTCAAACCACCCGAAGAACAGCAGGAGTGGCGATAGTAGTAGGCCATGCATGGAAGAGTACTGTCTCATAATCGGCACCTTGCACGACGGAGACGGAGTGCTTTCTAAAATTAGAATGCCAGCAAAGAAATGATATTCCTTGGAAATGAGCGGTGTGTATCCAACGGAACGTAGGTAATTGTAGGTGGCAGCACTACACGTCAATTTAGCATCATCGTCGGAGTCGGGTATGGAAGGATCGCGTCTGGGTCTTCCTATGTCTGCGCTAGACTAGCGTGCTTCGGATTAGTACTGGTGCTACAAAACCGGGCCCGCTGTTCTGCGGTTTGTGTTGTAAATGTGCACTCAAAAAATAAATCAAATAACCAGTGGAAAATATCCATGCGAATTTCACATAGCTTTCATGTGATTTGATAATTGGCAATTGTACCACTAAATCACATGAACGTTATGTGTCCAATGAAATCTATATGATTACTCACATAGAAATTGTGATGTTATGTGATATTCATATTTCTGTTTTTGGAAAAATATTATGTGCTTTCCTAATAGAAACTAAGTGAAAACTTTTTTCAGTGTGGAATTGGTTGCTGGAACAAAAGTTTAAGCTTCGTGACGTTTGCGTTTTGCAAAATTTGGCACAGGCACTTTATGTTAAAATCATTTCACGAGCAAATTTTCAAATCGACGTGTTCTTGTAAATAATGACTTCAAACGTCAGTTCAGTGCAAACATTCCTCTACCTGCTGGTGTCATTATTTTTCATGAGTGAGCTTGTATTCGCGCTAAATCGACGGCTAAAGCCATTGTTTACAAATGCAATTACGCCCCTTTGAAATGTTGGCACTGAGTTATTCGAAACTGATAGCTCGCCCACTCAAACAAATAGGTACCACCATCATGGAGGGACAAAATTCACCTATTGGTGATGTTAGTTTGCGTAGGTGAAATATCAGCTTCGACACAATTTTTGTTTATCAGTTTCAATATTTGCTCGAGATTGTCTTGCTTTCGCAGCCAATCTTTATGCACACCAAATTTAAATCGCTGAAAATCAGCAAAATTTTACTGCTTTTAGACTTGATGAAAGGTCTGCAAACGTTGCAGCAAAATAATGCTGTTGAATTTTTCAGCAATTCCAACTTCTGTCAAAATGACAACCTTTTACTGAAAATCAGCAATATTTCTCCACTGATCTTTCAGCAATTCAAAATTCTGACATTTGGCAGCATTTTGCTGATTAAACTATTAAATTCAGTAAATCGAATTTGTTTTCACTATATGAGCTTCCAGCTTCTGTAAAAGATCGTTGATACAAATATACGAATAATAAAGATAAAATCACCAGACTCTTTTCGAAGTATCATTTATTAAATATAACCAGTGTCCAAGCCAGTGTTCTTACCTACATAATTTTATTTATTTGTAGTTTTTTTTACCTCTTCCTCCTCCTGCGGTTTGACCGGTGGTGTACGAATGCAAAAATACTTGCGACTGTGATGCTAACAGTTTGACAGCTCTTTGACCGGGTGTTAGCTTATGTTAACTGATTTTTTCGGTGAAAATATCGTTTGCTGTTTTTCAGTAAAGCATTGGATTGCTGATCATGATCCAGCAATTCGTTTTACTGATATGGAAATCTTAAATTTGGTGTGTAGAGCATGAGATCAAATAAATTGCTCAATTGTTCGTTTTTTATTTAGCGTGTTTGTGTTCTTACCTTGAGTATCTCCAAATATGTGTGCATGATTGACAGCTGACAATCGTTTAGGAACAGTGAATAAATCTATTATTTGTCAAACCGTTGCTCTATTCACCAAATAAAGCTTGAAATTGTAGTGCTGTCACCCAAACTGAGAGGAAAAGCAAAACTAACCCGCATTCACTCTGTCCCGCTGAGAAGTAGAATGCATAGCTGCTGTTGCTGCTGCATCTCAAAAACCGTCCGGGGACCGTTGAAAGCATCCATTAGCTTATTTGCTAAGGTAAGTAACATTTTTATTACCCTGTCGTAAAATATCTCATCTTCATTCATCGAGCGTGCGACACATGAGAGCTTTGGATGTATAGGACCTGTGAATGCTCATTTCCAAAAATGTGTGGCAGAATTGCTTTGAAGATTTTTGGTCTTTGGTTGGTCCTCTGTGAAATACGAGTGCAGATATACCTAGTTAAAAATGGGAAGTAGCATTCCCCTGATAAATTATGCTCAAGTAGGGCTTTTGATTGTGACTGGATGGGAAAATGTTAATTAGGAGATCTGCTTCGTTATGTTTATCAGCTTTTGAAATTGCATTAATAAAAACTGCTTTTAAAATCTCTTGGCGAAGAAAATAAAACTCCAAGAAAACGGCTTGAGCTTCAGCTAACGAACGTAAAAGTATCATTGAACAAGCGTTGCCAGATGTATTGCATCTAGCAATGAACTTAAGTTTATTGATAAAATCAAATACGAAGTTTAACTCATCAACTTAGATGAGTTGATGCATTTAATAGTGAATAAATATCAAAAACTTAACAAACTAAACTAGAAGGACTTTAACGATCAAAATAAAAAAGGTGTAGCAAAGATTGAATTAAACACACAGGGGAGCTGGCAGCAGTGCACGTAACCTGTCATTCGCTTTTACGCTTAGTGGTGTAACCTAGAGTCGGTGTATAACGAGGGGGCGACACATCTAAATCTCAATTCTAGATGCTCAAAAAATCTCACACTAGCGAATCAACCTTCGAAAAATCATCTTTCATTTCTCGCATCTACTTGCATCGTGCTTCATCTTTTTGCAGGAAATCTTCAAAATCAACATAAATCTTTCTTCTATCTACTCAGCGTGCGTGCAGCTAGCCACAGCAAAACACAATCTTTTCTGCATCGTAGATAGAGTCGTCCCCCTCGGTGTATAATGAGTCACGCCAAGAGTGAAGCCAAGTCTACCTATCGAACTGTCAAACCAGCTACCTATCGGGCAAAGTAAACAAACATTACGATGCTATGAAAGGGCCACGAAAGGTATTGCAATAAAATATAAAATATAATCGAACAAATGATAATAAACACGCGGTGAGCATTCAATTGTCATGGGATACACTTGGTAATGATCAGTAATGAGAATTTCTACTATTTTTTATTAAGATAATTTGACAAAATCACTGATACTATGATTTACTACATCCGCTATTATTTTTTCTCGCTAGAAGTCATTTGAAGTTGATCTAGAAGTCCTCTGTTGCCAAGTTAAGAGAAAGGGAATATTTCGAACACCGTGATGCGAGTTCAACTGTTTTTCTCTTGGCGTGACTCATTATACACCGACTCTAGTGTAAACATGGGACGGGACTTGACAATCGGGTAGCGATTTCGAGCCAATTTCCTGTCAAATCCCAGCCAGTTTCTGATCGGTCAGTTTGACAGTAGCAATGGTGGACAGAAGGATCGCATCAATCTGGGTGGCAGTGATGCCAGAATCAATGTTGACGTCAATGGTGTTGTTAATTGTTTATATTTGCGAAATGAAAGTTGAAAAATTGAGTGCACAGGGGAAGGACAGCTCCAAGTATCACTATCAATACCGATGGTAGAAATATTAAATATTTTAATATGTGTGATATTTGCGAATCTTATACTTAGTCGGACAGTTGTTTTTTGTTTTTCTTTTGTTTTAAGTGTACATTTGACATTCGTTTT